ACCAAAAGTAAACAATAAGTAATTACAAAAATAATAAAACTTACAATTGCCAGGAAAAAGGCGAAAAAACAGAGAAATCAAACGTAAAACTCGGCATCGAAAAACACGTGTGAGAAGTCGTTAAAAACAACCTGTGGCATAAGCGCCTGCGTACGAACGTTACAAGTTAAATCGACAACTTCACGTGAGGCGGGAAGCGCGAAAAATTTAAAATTTAAAATTTAAAAATAAAATTAAAAAAGTAAAAAAATTTTTAAGTTGATTTGTACATTTCGAAAACCAGCGAATAAATACTACTCAAAGCGTCTATATCTGTCCTAAAATTAATCGTGTTTGGTTGGGTAGATATGTGGAACATTTCCAAAAATAATCTGTTGTGATAATTAGATTCTCTGTCCAAAATTTTAACTTCATCAAAGTTGAAAGGGTGGTCATTGTCAAGGCAATGTTGTGCCAAAGCACAACCACGCTTCGAAACTCTAATATCGCTTTTGTGTTTACTAAGACGTTTTTTAAGCCATTGACATGTATGTCCCACATATCTACCCCCGCACAAGGAGCACGGTACAACATAGATAACATTTGACTGGTACTCCAACGGAGTCTGGTCCTTAAGTTTGGAAAACACCGTAGACAGTTTTGACGGGTAATGTTCGATATATTTAATATCATTATTGGGGATATTACTTTTAGACATAGTGATCAGCTTTTGTGTAAGTTCAGGTATATAAGTAATTTTCTTATAAGTAAACGGATTATTGTCTGTGTTTGACTGCAGGTCCAAATTTTGGTTTGATGGTGAAGAACTAAAGAGCAATTTGTTTAAAAGTTTGGAAGGGTAATTATTGATCATAAAAATTTCTTTGAGTTTGTTGAGGTTGGTGTTGACCCACTGCGGTTCACAGATCTTCGTAATTCTATATTTCATGGCCATGACCGTATTAATTTTGTGTTTAATTTTGTGGAAGGATGAGAAATGGATATACCTCCCCGAGTACGTCGGTTTGGTATACCAGTCAAAAGAAATCTGGTTACTGTCATTTCTTATAACTTTAGTGTCCAAAAATGGTACATACTTATTGGTTTCTAGTTCTATAGTGAATTGAATGTGCTTGTTGAAACTATTAAAAAGGGACAAAACCCTATCCTGGGAACCTTCGGGTATAGCTAAAATGATATCGTCTACATATTTCTTAATAAACGGCAAATGAAAATCCAATTGAGGTATAATCATATCTAGTGTATAGTCCATTACTATTTGCGCTAAGATAGGGGAGATTGGAGATCCCATTCGCCTTTTTCCTGGCAATTGTAAGTTTTATTGTTTTTGTAATTACTTACTGTTACTTTTGGTTTTGTTTGTAGTAAATGCTCAAGCCCTGATGAAGCAACAATAGTTTGCGAAATATTGGCATTGAAAAAATAATTGCGTAAATTTTTTATCACGATCCTATCCTGGAACAATCGCCTCGTCCTTGTTGCTAACGGGATTGAACAACAATCTCCTTGTTTCTGTATTTGCTATTGAAATGGGTGCTAAAATCCTTCTTGAAAGAGGGGTGAAGAACATGACAGTACGAATTTTTTCAGACAGTCAAGCCGCTCCCCAGGCGCTGCAAACCGTGAAAACGGTGTCGGCTCTGGTTAATGATTGTAAGAGAACATTAAACACACTGAGTTGTGATAACAGAGTCTCTCTGATCTGGGTCCCGGGTCACTCTGGGGTTTCTGGCAATGAAGCGGCAGATAAGCTAGCACGAGATGGCAGCGCTGAAGCGTTTGTGGGACCGGAACCAGCAGTTGGTGTATCATTTGCGATGGCCAAATATAGGATTGGACTGTGGGCTGTAGAGAGACTTCGCCTACTGTGGACCAGTTCTCCTGGAATGAGACATGCTAAGGTGTTTATTAACATCGCCACTGTCAAACCCGGGAATATTTTAGGACTTGCCCGTAGTAGCATAAAAGTTCTAATGGGTGTTTTTACTGGGCACTGCCGATTAAAAGCACACCTCAACTTGTTGGGTTTAGCCGACGATGTTGAATGCCGACTATGTGCGGAGGAAGCAGAGACGGTTGAGCATATTTTATGCCACTGCCCTGCCGTTAATCGTATCACATTCTCGATTTTTGGGTCGCAGTTTATCTCCTCAAAAGATCTGAATGACCTTTCGCCGAGCAAGGTATTAATGTTCGTTAAGAGCATTGATAAGAGCAATAGATCCTTAGGGTCGCGGTGCAAGGTTGGTTGGTCCGCCTACCCGATATGTATTCTATGTAGTGTAATGTAATATAACAAAAAATATTAATCCCATATACGTGCAAAACATATTACATAAAACTTTTCCATTCAAAATTCATTGCCTTTTAAAGCATTTATCTACGTAGTGGACAATCATAAATTTCAAGTCAATGTACACAATCTTTTATAACCAATTAAACCAAATTAGAAAGTCTTGGTAAATTTAAAAATTGTTTAAATAAACATGTCTACTGAATATATTACAGTAAATACTATAATTTGTTGTTAAATTTCGATTCCCGCCGACTGTTATTCCATTTCCTGAAACGCTCTGAAAGCTAACGGTGTGTTGTACTACGACAAAACTTCCTGGTGAAGTCTTCTCGTCGCAATGAGGAAATATCTCACGAACCTCGTACATAATTACGTAATTCTCACGGCAATTCGGATCCAGATGAGAATTGTGAAGACGAAACCGAGTTAAATTCGAAATAGAAAGAACTAGACTTAATGATACTTTAATGTGGAACGAAATTAAATAAAATTTCAACTAGGTTGGCTGTAAATTCATTTTCTTTGACATTTATATAATTTTAGTATGTGTTGAAATTGAGCATTGAAGTATTCTTTCACGGAGGTGTTCATTTTAATTTAATATTAATGAAATGCAAAATTTTAATCGATCAGATCCTATGTTTGTATATAAAGATGTTTTATTAGGAAATGTTTTAAAGGACGCTTTCAAATGTATTAAATTTACATAGATAAAAAAATTATCAAGATAAACTGCAATAATAGTAATAAATAATTTAATTTAAAATTTTTGTTACGTCATTTAGTTCATAGATGTCACCACGATACAACTCAGTTTTTTCTAGTAAGTTGATAAAATAGATTTCTTTTTTCGGCCGGAATGTTCTTCATGTGACAGAAATCGATTGTAAAAGATTATTGAATTAAAATTATTTTATTAACCATTTTTGTATGGTTTTTCCACTGTGTATTTAAATAGGATTTATCATACTTATCGCTCGGCTTTGTATTAGTCCCAAACGGTTTGTATGTTCATTTTATTTTTGTTATGTAAGTGACCTAACCTAACTTTTTTTGACTAGATTTTAAACTATAATAATGGGAAACGCTGTATCCGCAGCTGAGGTGGCAGCGACACAGCTTATCCAACCTGCGACTATCGATGTGGAGCCCAAAATTCAATCAAAACATGATCACTCTCAATATGTGCATGGAAATTATAAACCTGGAGAAATTCCTTTAGATATGAAGGGCAAAGTTGATCATTCTCAATATGCACATGGCAATTTTAAAGCTGGGGATATCCCAGAGGAATGTCCTATGCATAAAAAATTACAACCCACAGCTTCTGAATGTCCTGTAAAGGGTGATGATATAAACCCTTTAAATATGGTACTTTTTATTAGATAAATTTTGTTATAAATAATTAAATTAAATTTGTGGTTGTTTAGATGCCAGCAGCTAATCAACAACCTTCACCAGGTCAACCATTTTCGTTACCGACGAATCGCCAAGTTTCTACAATTCCAAAAGCAATAATTAAAGAAGGTGAAGGTCCATATTGGGTGTACCCAAGTGAACAGGTGATTATAAAATAATATTTATGATAAGTTTAAATTAACATTTTTATTTAGATGTTTTGGAATGCAATGCTTAGAAAAGGTTGGAGATGGCGTGATGAAGACATTGAACAACAAGATATGGCAAATATAATTAAGATTCATAATGCAAACAATGAGCAGGCTTGGAAAGAAGTGCTTAAATGGGAGGCGTTACACGCCAGGGAATGCCAATGTCCTAAATTAAAGAGTTTTGGTGGCAAAGCTACTGATTATAGTCCAAGGGCTAGAATTCGTCAACTAATGGGGTATGAATTACCATTTGATAGACACGACTGGATTATTGATAGGTGTGGGAAAGAAGTGAGATATATTATTGATTATTATGATGGGGGAAAAATTGACAATAAGTATCAGTTTGCTTTGTTAGATGTGCGACCAGCTATGGATAGGTAAGTTCTGATTTTAATTGAAAATAAATAAAATTCATTTTGGGGAATTGTAGTTTTGAAAATATATGGGACAGAATGAAAGTTACTTGGTGGAGATGGATGTACAGTGATGAATAGGCTCCATAAAAGAAAAGATACTATTCTTTTTATTGTTTATTTAGAAAAACTTAGATTTGTTTAGGTTTGTTAATTATTTAATAAAGAAGACATCTCATATAAAATTATATTTAATACCTAAGAATTTAAAAAAAAAAGTATTAATAGTTATCTATTTGAACATCTATTTTCTAGGACACATCATCAATATTTAAAGTTATGATTTGATGATGATTAAATTCCTCAGTGAGATAACAGCAAAGTTAAAGATTCAAACTGCCCAAAGAATACTGAAGAGGAAATAAATTCAAATAGAAATGTATAATTTTAGATTTCCAAAAAAAAAGCAGTTACATTTTTTAACTTTAAAGAAGCAACCTTTTCCTGCTAGCATGAACAGGTAAATAAAAAATTATTTTGATAAGAAAGTTGATATTAAGATATTTCCTATAATACTTTTAGATAACATTTTTCAATCCTTTTCTATTTGTAGTTACACTCCCTTTTAAATTAACCTTTAATTAGGTAAGTTTAAATGAGCCAAACGTGGTTAGCTCTGCAGAATGTCAAAAATTGATTTATTTATTTCAACAAAATTAGTGTCAGTCAAGTATTCTATACCATACACTTATTTTCTGCTAATACTGTGTCTGTAATTCTAAACCACGCAGGATTTTCAGTATACCAGTGCTATGTAAACATGATTTCGACGTCATGATATCGTTATTACTTACTATATCCTTAAATGATTTCTTAGTTTCCACGCATCCTTAGAAGCAAAAAAATTAACAAGGCAGTATCCTTTCATACACACTTGTTTAATATTTACATGAGTGACATATATGCGGATGATACTGCTTTATTTGCTCAAAACTCAGAATTTGTAGATGCACAAAAGCACTACAACCGTATGAACATAGCAGAAAGAAGATCCATAGGCAAATAAAAATTTTCCGGCGCATCCACCATTTATTAATAAAAATTATTTATTTCCGCAACCTTTATTCAACTAAAAATCTTATCAAATAATCGTGTAAACAAAATCAACACGATTGTAAGGAGTTAATCTATATTACCAATCGTCATGCAAACATTTTCCTAACACGCATATTCATCCACGATTTATATCCTCAGCGAAGCTCCCAACCTGCCGAATCATCCCCTATTTTAATGTAAAACGATCTATTTTACCGACGGTGTAAAAGCACGCATTTCTGACAGATACTTTTTCAGCGGACCAACTTTAACCCTTCTTATTTTTTTACTATCACATACTATAACCGGACCAAAAAATAAAGAACCGTTTTGTTTCGTTATCGAAAGCTGCGTTTATCTTTGCCGGCTTTTATTTGAAACGCGAACGAACTCGCCGGCAGAGACTATCGATTCTATGGAGCAGGCCTTGTAAGGGAAATAAAGCGAGACGGTGTGTACGTTTATGACAGGCGGCCATATTGGTAAACCACTTGTTAGACACCCTGTTTTGTTATTGTTGTCGTTGAGGGTAAACCGACCGTTGTCACGCAGTCGGATCAAGAAATTTCGGCGAATATTTTGAACGGTAGGTTGTCGTCGCCCCACTTCGGTTCAACAACGAGGTGTCGCCACGCCATCCCCAGAGAATGATCGGGTGAGTGTGTTTTTTTTTTGTAATTTTCGTTTATAAAAAACGCCGGCGTTCAAAGTGTTGTTTAGAATACTCAATAACGCGTGTGCAGTTGCATTATTGATTGAAGAGACAACGTTGAAATTATTTTTGTTTTCATTTAACAATTGTTTTAAAACAAAAGACCTATTTTTACATGGTTTGGTATTATAGATTTTATTTATAATTCGTTTAAAAATTTAAAACGTAGATTTTAATTTAAAAAATGGTGGCAGTTGTTGTGTTTATTTTTATTTAGGTACGTTGTTTGTTTGTTCTTTTCATTTTCCAATGACTTATCAACTAATTTGCAACTCCAGGACCATTACATTACATTACATTACATAGAATACATATCGGGTAGGCGGACCAACCAACCTTGCACCGCGACCCTAAGGATCTATTGTACCCCGATAGATATCGTTATCAAATTTCACCGTGCAGTCCAATGCTCTTAACGAACATTAATACCTTGCTCAGCGAAAGGTCATTCAGATCTTTTGAGGCTCAACCGTCTCTGCTTCCTCCGCACATAGTCGGCATTCAACATCGTCGGCTAAACCCAACAAGTTGAGGTGTGCTTTTAATCGGCAGTGCCCAGTAAAAACACCCATTAGAACTTTTATGCTACTACGGGCAAGTCCTAAAATATTCCCGGGTTTGACAGTGGCGATGTTAATAAACACCTTAACATGTCTCATTCCAGGAGAACTGGTCCACAGTAGGCGAAGTCTCTCTTCAGCCCCAGTCCAATCCTATATTTGGCCATCGCAAATGATACACCAACTGCTGGTTTCGGTCCCACAAACGCTTCAGCGCTGCCATCTCGTGCTAGCTTATCTGCCGCTTCATTGCCAGCAACACCAGAGTGACCCGGGACCCAGATCAGAGAGTCTCTGTTATCACAACTCAGTGTGTTTAATGTTCTCTTACAATCATTAACCAGAGCCGACACCGTTTTCACGGCTTGCAGCGCCTGGAGAGCGGCTTGACTGTCTGAGAAAATTCGTACTGTCATGTTCTTCACCCCTCTTTCAAGAAGGATTTTAGCACCCATGTCAATAGCAAATACTTCCGCCTGGAATACAGTACAGTACGTACCCAGGCTGTAGGCTTGCTTAATTCGAGGTGTCTGGCAGTATACTCCTGCTCCTACCCCTTCAGGCGTTTTTGATCCATCTGTGTACAAGCAAATGTCTGCCCGAACCAGAGAATTTTCATTTTCGATCCAGGACTGCCGCTCAGGCAGTACAATCTGGTATCGAGCATTAATCACTGATAGTGATACCGCCAAATCTGACGGCATTGATAGCACAGTATCAGTGCTTATAATGTCTTCCGCAGCCCATTGGTAGGACATGTCGGAACAGTTTTGAGCATATTGCTTAAATCTGTAAATGGTTGTTCTAGCCACTTTCTCTATATGCAAATGCAGAGGAGATAGGCCAAGCAGAACCTCCATTGCTAGAGTTGGCGTTGTGCCTATCGCACCAGAGATTGCCAATCCAGCTACTCGTTGAATTCGTGAAAGTTTACTGATAACTGAAGTCTGTCGGACTTTCCTATACCAGGCTGCTGCTCCGTATGTGATCATAGGTCTAACCACAGTCACATAGAGCCAGTACAGTCTTTCAGGGGTAAGACCCCAATTTTTTCCACAAAGACTGCGACAAGTCCACAAGGATAGTCTAGCTTTGTGCAAAACTCCCTGCAAATGTCCATTCCATGACAGGGTTTTGTCTAGGATTACTCCTAGATATTTGACTTCCTTTGAGAAAGGAATTTCTTCACCTTGGATAGTTGGGCGGATTAGTCCATCCAACTTTCGCTTCCTGGTGAAGGGCACAACAATTGTCTTTTGCGGGTTTATTGAGAGGTTCTCTCCCTTACACCAAGCGCAAATGGTATCTAGGGTCACCTGGAGGACTTTAGATATCCTCGGCAAACAGGTTCCTTTGACCATAACGACAATGTCATCAGCATAAGCTTGTATTTCCACACCAACGGCTTCGACTATCGCAATCAGATCGTCAACTAGGAGGGACCAAAGCAGGGGAGATAACACCCCTCCCTGCGGGCAGCCACCTCCCGGCCTGAAGCGTATCGTATCACCGTGGAGTGAAGTAGAAACTATTCTACTATCTAGCATATTGCGGATCCAACCCGCTATAGTTGCTTCCACTCCCCTGTCAAGAGCAGCTCTTTCAAGAGATTGTGGTATTGCGTTGTTGAACGCTCCCTCTATATCCAGAAACGCACAAACCAAGATTTCTTTATCCTGCAGCGTCCTGGATACTCTACCAACTAGGACCATACAATAAAGCTTATGTTTTTTCATAAAATCTTTTCATCACTTACATTTTTTCCGTGCTGTCTTTTAAGCTGTTTTGGACTAATATTAGTTGCGTCGCTTCTGTAGTTAATTTAACATTTCTAAAATAGCATAATGTTCTAACCTCAATATATGCAGAAATTTCTGCTCTTTTCAAGCCTTAGTGTAGGTGCTTTGGGCTCGTTAGCATTTTGGATATCTGATTAGTCAGTTTTGTTCAGATAGATAGAAATTTCCAACATTATTTCGGCGTTTCAGATGACATGTTGCAACCTTTTTCAGAAACAAGTTCGATGTGAACACTTGTTGATTCTAGTTTTAGTTGAATAAAAAATATAAAGGCTTACAAAAATTGATACATTTTTGTTGAACTAAAAGTAGAACTAACACTAGACCTAAGACTATAAACATTCAGGTTTAGTCGACCATTAAGACATACGGCTAAACCTGAAACCTTCTAGTTCTAGTGATGGTACTAGTGTTAGTTCTACTTTTAGTTCAATGAAAATGTACAACAACTAAAATTAGAAGTCGCACGGCTAAACCTAAATGTTTCTAATTCTAGGTCTAGTGTTAGTTCTAGTTTTACAGTGGCACCATCACTAGAACTAACACAAGACCTAGAACTAGAAATCAGCCATCTTGAAAGACGTACGGCTAAATCTGAGTGTTTCTAGATCTAGGTCTAGTATTATTGGTATTCCTGACTTATTAAAAATAGCTAATGCAATTCCAATTTTTAAAGGCGGAGATAAGAACAACAATGCTAATTTTCGTCCTATAAGTATCCTGCTCATCTTTTCCAAAATATTTGAAAGGGCCCTTTTTAATAGAATGATCACACACTTGGACCAAAATAATTTTCTGCACCCACATCAGTTTGGCTTTCGAAGGGGTAGGTGCACCTCTAACGCGGTAGTTAAATATGTGAATATCTGTCTTGACAGCTTTGAAAAGCGTGAATACTGTATGTCATTGTTTTTGGACTTGTCCATTCTTATTGATAAACTTCGCAATGTTTTTAATTTTGACGACAAAAGTGTTGCTCTAATCCAATCTTATCTATCCGGCAGAACGCAACAGGTGACTTGTGGTCAAGTGACATCGGAGAGAGTCACTTTGACTATATAGGGGTGTTCCACAGGGTTCTATCCTTGGACCTCTTTTATTTTTGATGTTTTTTAATGACTTTCCGTATTATTTTAGGGACATTGACTGTTTATTATATGCTGATGATGCCACTTTGATTATCTGAAGCAATGAAGCTGGATAGATAGAGCACGTAAATGGTGCATCACGAATGAGTTGTGTTTGAATGATGGGAAAACAGTCAGAATGATATTAAGTCAAAGAAATTTTAATTTTACTAATTTTGGTAACCCGTCGTTTGGTAAATTCTTGGGAGTTTGCATAACCACTCCAATATTGAAGTTCGATCATCATGTTGACGCTATAAGTAAGAAAATTTCAAAAAACATCTTTTTGCTACGAAATCTTATTGTCAAGGTGGAACTAGAAGTAGTGAAAACCGCTTATACAAAGCCATATTTCTTATGCCATTATAACTTACAGCGTAGGGTTCTAACAGTTGTAGGAGGCCTGGGATACAGTGAAGACTGTCGACACATCTTCGTGCGTTTAGGCGTTCTAACCCTGCCATCTATTTACGTACTAAATTCTATATTGTATGCTCTGAACAATTTTGACGAGCTTTTAAATGTTCACAAATACGCAACTCGTAATCATTGTAATGTGTATGTTGATATGTGTAGATTGAGTATGATGCAGCGGGGTTCAACATACATGTGTCAAATGCTATTTAATAAGTTGCCGTTGAATGTCAGAAGTCGTAAACTGACACATTTCTTGGATTCGAATGCGTTTTATTTCGTCGATGAATTTTTAAAATGTAATATTGATATTTCAAATGTAAATTGAACTGACGAGTGTAAGAGAACTATCTTATAGCTCAATAATATAATAATAATAATAATAAATGTCTTTATTGCACATACCATTGTATACAACAAAAGAAAAAATATATATAATAATAACAAAAATTGTATCTATAGTGTAGATATATTCTAAACTAGAATGTTTAAACAACAAGAGACCAAAAAACTTAGTACCTAACACTACAAAAAAAAGAAAAGAAAAAAGAATGGCAAATTAATTATTTTT